TGAAGTATATTACCATCGCTACAACTCACCCCCGACAACTTCTACCTCGAGTCATTCATTCTACATCCTCCTCAATTTGTCGAAATCTTTAACAAAAGAAATATACATTCATTTTTGCGTTTTACATTTAGAATTTTCAACAATAGAAAATTCTAGAATGAAGCAAAAGTCTCGACCGGTCAGCGAAAGATCGCCCGACGAAATTCAAGAAACAAACTCGTAACAAAAATGATCTCTCACCCCGTTTCTACATTACTTTAATCCCCGCGTCAGGAGACACACCCCGTATATTGATCTTGCCGAGGCTTCTTCAGCGTTTAAGTTAATCGTTCCTCCAGTAGCTTTTAGCCGGGAATTTCGTGCTCCTTTAGGTCCTGGCGAGCCTCGCGTCCGCCGGTATAACATCAATCGAAGAACTTCAGTTGCTCGCCGTTTCCGCCGTTCCATCCTCGCCCATTATTTATCGCCGCGTTCTCCAAGTTTAAGCTAATGGAAAGAGAGGTCGCGAAAAACAAACTGCCGCGGCGCAGTGCGACGCTCCCGCAGACGTGGGGATTTCTTTTATGACATAAGTTCGCCTATGAATAAAATATCAAGGCGGACTTTTCCACCTTCCGCCAGCCTTTCGGCGGACCCCCGCTTTCCGCGGGGCAGAGAGACCGAATGCCGCAGCCGGGCCAGCGCGGCCGGTTTGCCGCAGCGGCCCAAAACGGCCGCCGCCGACACCCCGGAACGTCTTTCCTGCGCAATCAATGCCGTGCCTATTCCCGCATTCGGCGCAGTTCCGAAGTATATTCCTCTGTTTGCATAATTGAACACCGGCCGCGTCCTAACTTCGTGCGATTCGACGCCGAATAAACATGATACCGTGGCCCGCACGTGTTCGAAAAGTGAAACAGGATTTGTTCGTTGGACCGCGCCGGTTTCACCCCTGGACGGTTTCACCGTGTCGTTCTGTCGAACAACACTGTAAACTCGAGTTAACGTTTCGATCAGACCCCCACGGTTCAAATTTTCAGGGACCGTAAGTTGCTGCAACGACGCCGCTTTGCGAAGTCGGGCTCGGAATTATAATATTTATATCGGAGAAATTGGTTCCAGTTTTTTTAACCCTTTCGCTACGGAGCGCTTGCGTCAAAATGTGATCGCTGTGAACGGAGCGTATTATCGAGTGGTTGGCACTGAAGTACGGGATGTATTTCTGGTTCGAAGTTTTCCGTAGTCCAAGTATATTCAGATTTTTGTGATCTTGAGCACGTTACTGTTTGTCTTGCATGGCGAACGCTTTCGGTATCGGTATTTTCACTATCAGTATTTTCACTATCACTCGTGACAAATATTCTCCTAAATTTTCTTTTCCCCATGATTTGATAATGGGTCTAAAAAGATTGAATACTTTAAAACTCAACATATTATCGCAAAGGCAGAAATTCAGTATTTACCCGTGAATTATTAAAATCAAGCCAACAAAATTATTTTAGAATTATAAATTCGTGTAAATCTTTTAATCGCTACTATTATAAATTGCTGATACATATCCGTTGCTGGCAACGTTCTAAAGAAGCCTGAAACTGTGTATCGTTAGAATAAAACACAATATCGTCTTGTCAATAGTGTTATATTTCATGATAGTCAATTGTTTAAGGCATGCAGCGTTGCCAGATACTCGACTAACAAAAGTATCTCATGGTAAAGTATGAAATAAAAGTACATGTTGTATGAACGTATATATACGCTCTTCGTTCCCGCGCGCCCACTTTTCCAGAGCGTATATATACGCTGTTCGTATATGAATGGTCATTCTTCGAGGTTGTATATATATGCCCATCGGAGCAAAAGGGTTAAAGAAGTTCTGAGCTTTCTTGCTCTTCTTTGCCTAGCAAATATGATAAAGTATTTGTTCCAATTCGTACCGTTGGCTATGATTTTGAAACAGTGACGAGCGCGAGCCTGCTTGAAACTATTTCGCAGCGTAAAATTTATTAAAGTATATACTGTTTTTGCGAAACGATGATTTATCAGCCGAAAGAGTACGATGATCGTCGCGATGCAAAAGATCTCTCGACAGTACAGTAATTTCTCCCGAATTTGCGCTCAGCTTGGAAACGAAAGTGGACAATTAGGGAAGAGGAGATACGATTATTCGAGCCTCGCGGCTCGTTTCTATAATTATTGACAATCGATTACCATAAAAAAACGAGCCACATGTCTCAAATAATCGTATCTCCTCTTCCTAAATTGTCCATTTTTCTGGATAATCTGAGCGTCAATTAGAGATACATTACTATGCATATAAAAGGTGTACCCCGATTATTCCGTGGTAGTTCCGCTGCTTTCTCCGTTAACCTCGTAACGCATCGGGTGTTTAGGAGCCGCTTTAAGTTTCGAGAAAAGTTCGAAGGAATCTTGGTATTTACCCGATGCCGCGAGCAGCCGGGTACCAGTATACCCGTTTGCGGCGTTCACGTTTACCCGCGTTCACACTTTAAAGGCGAGCTGACGGTCCGCGCTCGGTCTCACACTTGAGAACTTCGAAGCGAGTTATGAAAAAGTTCCCGGCGTCCGCTTTCGTGGTCGGGGGCGAGGAAGGGAGGAAAAAGGAGAAGATTTCTCGCTCACTGGTTTACCCTCGCCGCGACTTTTTCCTTTTCCTCGGAAGATTTAACGTTCTTCAGCCGATTACTTATAGGTCTGTTACCTTCGAGCGCCCTTCTTCGTTGCGAAGGTATTACGGAGTTAATTAAAACACCTGATATATTCTTAGAGATCGCGACCTCCTCCCGTTTCACGGATCATCGTGCAAGGAATTACAGTAATTTCTCCCAGAAATGTTCGAGGAAAGCGGAATTGAAAACGGCGGATCTGGGTATACCAAGTCGCGATTCTTCGGGCCTCGCGACTCGTTTTTATAGAAACTCAGGGCAGACGGCAAAAATTGGCTGCAACCAGCATGCCGGTGTACATTAACACTTTACAGGCCCAGCGGTTTTACGAGAAACCTTCGTGGGGAGCCAACGTTTTATCCTGGATGAAACTGCTGTTTTACAAATAAGCAAAATTATAATTGAATTATAGTTTGCGAATTGGCGATCGATTGTCGGGCAAACTTCGCGAATGTTGAAATTTCAGGTTTATTGTTATATCATCAAGGTGAATTGCGATTTCGCACTCGTTCACAGTCGAATCGAAAATAACTAGTAGTTTGTACCGCCGATGCTGGTGCCGAACGGCGCGCGATCAGTGTATTCAGGAAAAATTGCTACGCGAGGAGTGGGGCGACGACGCGTGCGGAGGGAGTCCCGCGCAGCGGCGCGGCGCGTCTACCGGGTGAGCATTGTAATTCTGAACTACGATGGCGACGCGACGCGACGCAGAGCTGCGGGTACAATACAATGCAATAGGCGCCGCCCTGTAGACGCGCCGCGCCGTTGCGCGGGACTCTCGCGCNTAAATTGTCCATTTTTCTGGATAATCTGAGCGTCAATTAGAGATACATTACTATGCATATAAAAGGTGTACCCCGATTATTCCGTGGTAGTTCCGCTGCTTTCTCCGTTAACCTCGTAACGCATCGGGTGTTTAGGAGCCGCTTTAAGTTTCGAGAAAAGTTCGAAGGAATCTTGGTATTTACCCGATGCCGCGAGCAGCCGGGTACCAGTATACCCGTTTGCGGCGTTCACGTTTACCCGCGTTCACACTTTAAAGGCGAGCTGACGGTCCGCGCTCGGTCTCACACTTGAGAACTTCGAAGCGAGTTATGAAAAAGTTCCCGGCGTCCGCTTTCGTGGTCGGGGGCGAGGAAGGGAGGAAAAAGGAGAAGATTTCTCGCTCACTGGTTTACCCTCGCCGCGACTTTTTCCTTTTCCTCGGAAGATTTAACGTTCTTCAGCCGATTACTTATAGGTCTGTTACCTTCGAGCGCCCTTCTTCGTTGCGAAGGTATTACGGAGTTAATTAAAACACCTGATATATTCTTAGAGATCGCGACCTCCTCCCGTTTCACGGATCATCGTGCAAGGAATTACAGTAATTTCTCCCAGAAATGTTCGAGGAAAGCGGAATTGAAAACGGCGGATCTGGGTATACCAAGTCGCGATTCTTCGGGCCTCGCGACTCGTTTTTATAGAAACTCAGGGCAGACGGCAAAAATTGGCTGCAACCAGCATGCCGGTGTACATTAACACTTTACAGGCCCAGCGGTTTTACGAGAAACCTTCGTGGGGAGCCAACGTTTTATCCTGGATGAAACTGCTGTTTTACAAATAAGCAAAATTATAATTGAATTATAGTTTGCGAATTGGCGATCGATTGTCGGGCAAACTTCGCGAATGTTGAAATTTCAGGTTTATTGTTATATCATCAAGGTGAATTGCGATTTCGCACTCGTTCACAGTCGAATCGAAAATAACTAGTAGTTTGTACCGCCGATGCTGGTGCCGAACGGCGCGCGATCAGTGTATTCAGGAAAAATTGCTACGCGAGGAGTGGGGCGACGACGCGTGCGGAGGGAGTCCCGCGCAGCGGCGCGGCGCGTCTACCGGGTGAGCATTGTAATTCTGAACTACGATGGCGACGCGACGCGACGCAGAGCTGCGGGTACAATACAATGCAATAGGCGCCGCCCTGTAGACGCGCCGCGCCGTTGCGCGGGACTCTCGCGCGTGCGTCGCCTGCCCCCACTCCTCGCGCAGCGACTTTTCCTAAATACACCGCGCGTGATACGCATGTTGCACCAGCGGCCGTTAACGTCAGTTTGCGCCGTGGCGCAACTGTTGTGTCATCGGCCGCTAAAGTGTTAATATGAATACATAGTAGTGATAGAATAAAAACGATGACTTAACCTTTTTATTTCCAATTTTTGTCACGATCCGAAGGAGGCCACGTGACACGATTCGAAGACGGTTCGAAGGCAATTCAGAGACCACGTGACACGATTCAAAGGCAATTCCGAGGTCACGTGACGCGATGCGACGGTCATGCATCTAGTATCTGCCACGTACCTTGTAATTCCGCGGTTTTTCTTGCATCGACTTCTCGCATCGACGTAGTAATAATTTACATAGGCGTAGAAGCAGCGCAGGGAAATTCACAGCAACCTGAAAATTGGCATTTCCGGGAGAAATTATTGTATACAGTAATGTCTCCCTAACTGACGCTCAGATTGTGCATAAAAATGGACAATTTGGGAAGAGGCGATACGATTGTTCGAGCCTTGCGGCTCGTTGTTATAGTTGTTGACAATTCGTAACTATAAAAACGAGCCGTAAACAATCGTATAATCGAATAATCGTGTCTCCTCTTCCCAAATTGTCCATTCTTGTGGACAAGCTGAGCGTCAATTAGAGATACATTACTGTATTCTTTAAGATCGCGACGTCCTCACGTTTCACGGATGATCACGTAAGGAATTATAGCGAAACAAGGATATATATACTTCTCAGGAAAAAGATCTCGCGTAAACGATGGATGCAACGTGTTTCGCAGGAAAAAAATATTGCAAAGTTAAGGTAACCGTAAACGATGGCGGGATAAGAGCATTTAGAAATGGTATTAATACGGCTGAATAATATTCTAGCGTTATAAGGTACGGTAATGGAGAATAAATTAATACGAATGGGTCTCGGTATTATAAAGACCGGCGGTGCTGTATCGAATTAGGTGCACACGAACCTGCTTAACACTAAATCTCGCGGGGGGAACGTGCGTACTCTCAGCATGTGCCCGGAATATCTCCGTAATCGCGAGTAAATCGGGGCGAAAATATCGTGTCTATAACTTTATGACGGGTATAGAGGGGTATCGGTTGATTCAGGGGGAAGGAAAAGCGGTCCGTGCCGTGCCGACCGTAATTTTTTTCGGACCCGGGGCGTGTATGCCATCTGCTCTTATCGAGGCTCCGGTAACGCGATACTTGAGAAACTCTATTTTATATTTATATAATTTAGCTAATATTATACGGGAAATTGTGCGAATTTGTACGCTTTAAAATCTTTAACTCCTTACTAGTTATTTGGCATTTGAATTTAAGTTTCATTGTGGGACTTCGATCCTTTGGGTTTCTAACCTTTCTCGTTTCAGAAGTTGCATCGAGGTCGTGTAATGCAATTATATTTTCATATGTAACTCTACCAGCTTGCTCGGTACGGTGAACGTATCAGCATTGTTGTGGAATGTAATGAAAATTGATGCCATCGTTATTCGTGGACTTAATGTAAATTGATAAAACAATATAATATTATTATATATAATTATATAATTATATTATATATATATAGTATAGTATATTAGTATTTCTATGCTATATATTATTATTAGTTTTATATTAGTATTACTGTTATATGTACATAATATTATTATATATATAATATAGTAATATTATATAATAATACTATACTATACTATATACTATATACTAAAATAATATTCTATAAATAGTTCTAGAATAAAAGTAATTGCCAAGTCTACTTTATTTAGTTCCGTAAAAACTGATACTTTGAATTTTAATGAAGATTGATATGTAAATTGAAAAGAAAATTTCAGACATTTTTATCATGAACTAAACCACGACGCATTAGAAATCTCATCCTAGTTCAGCACTCAGCTCCACAAATCAGCGGACGCTTATGTTATTAATTTATCTTATTTTTTTCATTATTAATTTATCTTATATTGTATTATTTACATTATTAATTTATCATATTATTATAATATAGTATAGTATATTATAACAATTATAAGTTCCCGGTGACTTTGGAGGGTGGTTGAAAGGGTTGGAGGGAGATTGCGCAGAAAAATGTAGTATATAGTATATTACTATTTGTGAAGAAAAGATGCGATTATTTTTTTTTTCCTATTTACCGATTGTTAACAGCTAAATCGTCCATTCTTGTGCGCAATCAGAGCGCGAATTAGGGAGAAATTACTATATATATTTTTAATTAAGTTAAATCGTTAAATTAATAATAATAAGTTAAATCTCAATTTACCAAATTTCGTTTTCCAATAGCTTCTTCGCGAAAGCAAAGGGTTAGAGAAATCGAAGAAAGCACAGCTGTCGAGTCGACGAAGTAGCGACGGCAACTTCGAATTTCGCTCGTCCTGATCTCCATTTCCCTAATATCCAAAGTTTGCGGAAATCGTTTCAGCTCGACTTTCTGCCGAAGATCCGACGTTTCCTATGGAAAAGACGCTCGAGATGTACTTGGATACGCTGCTTTACGACGGAACTTCCTTCCGATCACGGGTGCTCCCCGACGAAGTCAGTTACACGCCTGGGGAAAAAAACAACAATCTGGCCGCACACGTTTTATTCTCTCTCTCTCTCTCTCTCTCTCTCTCTCTCTCTCTCTCTCCGGCGACCGCGCGGAAGTCAATACTACTGTAATAAAAATAAAAATAAAAATAAAAAAAAATAGAAAAATGAGAAAACGCTGCATCAATTCTTTTATGGAGCATAAAGTATTATTACTTTATATATGGACGTGTGTCCACGTACATAAACTTCGCGATATAAAAGAATGAACGACGACGTATGTTCTTTTTCTCGAGGAGTTTCGATCCGTTAACGATTCGCCTGTTGCTCTGAAAAATAATTTTTCATCGAGAAACGCGTGATCGAAAAATATTTTTCTTGTCACGATGAAACGACGGTTCTGATTATTTTCAATTTGGGTGGTACATTTTTCTGTCTGTGATATTATACGTCGCTTCGCGAAGCGTATCTTAGCAAATTTTCAAACTCAATTTTCTTTAAAATTATGCCGCCCCCGTCCCCCCTAAAAAGAAAGTTATTCTACAGGGTGTCACAATTTAGACCCCACGAGGGAGGAGTTGAATTAATCTCGACGTCGCCTAGAATATTATTAAAGTTAATATTACCTAGTTTCATTTTTAAAAATACCGGCGACCTTCTTTCTTTTTATCGAAAATTAATTTGTTCTTAAATTTAAACAATTGCAATTTCTAGTCGGTTAAATACTAATTAACTTCGATAGGAAATATTTTTTTGTCAGACCATCGGAAGCGGCTGAAAAATCGTGGGGACTAATTTGTGACTCACCCGGTATATACTTTCATGTTTTTATTACGAGGATTCACCCGGTGCTTGTACATGCTTTCAGGTATACCCTGTATTTTTCAGCAGGATAATGCCGCGGCACACACTGCGAAGCAGTAAAAGAGTACTTTTCTCGAGAAAATAATTGCGTCTTTGGATTGGCCATAAGGTCATATCGTTGAAAATCGTTGCGGAAATCTTAACGCGGCTGTACACGCAAATGGAAGATAATTTCGAAACATTACCGAACAAGAAAAATGTATTCGATACGAGTGCGAGCAAATAGAGCAAAAAAACTATTGAAAAAGAACACCATAAATCTTTGCCAAAGACAATGACGACTGTTAATCGATGTAAAAAAGGAGCCACGAAATATTAAGCATTAACCCGAGAAAGATAACCTACGTCGCAGAGGCGCCTGCGAAGACTGTTGATTTTTGTTAATTTTTCATAGAGGTCTAATGATTTAAGTTTAAAATTACTTAAAATATAAAAAAATATAATATAAATGCATTTTATTTTTACAATAATGCCAAACCTTTAAAATGACTAGATTAACTTAAATAAATATCCATTGTTAGTATAAAATTGACGCCTTAGAAAAGCATGCGCCTCTGAAGCGTATGGTTATCTTTTACGTACGTTGTCATATGGTTATCTTTCTAGGGTTAAATATCATTCGTTGATTTATTGCTGTACATAATTTTCAGTTAAACGTGTTATAATTTTGTTCGACTTCATTTCCATAAAAATCCTCTTTCCAAAATCCTTTACACCGACGAAATTCGTTTCTATTTTTTTTTGTATATATTTATAGTGCTATTTTGCAAATTTGTATTTTGCATTTTGCATTTTGCAAATTTCTATAGAAACATAACCTTAAATAGAGATCAGAGAGATCAGAGTTACGTTAATTTTAAAGTGTGCGAAATATTCAGCATTATAAATATCATTCGTTGATTTATTGCTGTACATAATTTTCAGTTAAACGTGTTATAATTTTGTTCGACTTCATTTCCATAAAAATCCTCTTTCCAAAATCGTTTAAACCGACGAAATTCGTTTCTATTTAATGTGTATATATTTATAGTGCTATTTCGCAAATTTGTATTTTGCATTTTGCATTTTGCAAATTTCTATAGGAACATAACCTTAAATAGAGATCAGAGAGATCAGAGTTACGTTTATTTCAAAATGTGCTATCCTTTTTTCCGACGCTGCGTCGTAGTCCGTTCGAGGTTGTTCGAGGCAAAAAAACAATAAGAGACGTCTAATGAATAAATATCCATCCGGAAACCAGAGAATAATTACAACTGACGGATATAAACACGTTCGTGACAACTGAATCAATCATACCGAGCACGGCGTTTCTTGCGTCCCGATGCCGGAACCGTTATCGTTGGCCTTTCGCGCGGCATAATTTCGTGGAAAGCAGGAAAAAGCGGTCCAAACTCGGCCCCAAACAACAACACGGAGTGTGAAATTACACGTTTGTTAAATTACACGCTCGTCACTGCGCGAGTGACGTATGGAGGTCACGTTTGACCTACATTAAATATTCGCAAATCCGGGCACGCTCTGTACGGATGCATGAAAAATACACGGCATTTAATTACATTTCTAATTATAATAATGGTCAGCCGCACGTAACAATGCCCGAGGGGTGCTCGCAATTAAGCGGCTACGGCCGTGAACCCGGTGTTGTTTGAAAAATTTCGCTGTTCGGCGACAAGTTTGCGCCATGGCCGGCGACGGATCCGCGCGACTCGCCTCGCCTCGTCTCGCCGCGACTCGGCTCGACTCGGCTCGGCTCGACTCGGCTCGACTCGGCGCGGCTCGGTGCGGCGACTTAAGCGAGTTAAGTTTCTCGCAAAGTGGATCGGAGCCGGGCGAAATGAAATAAAAATTAAATCTGCTCGGCAACTTAATTAACATTTCATCTGTCGGCGTGAACGGAAAATATGGGTAATCTGCTGGGGAGTTTCTCAAACTTAACGGGGCGGGGCCCGCGCAGTTCGCTCCGAGTGAACAATTGAATTAGCACGAACGAAACATTTTTAAACGACGCGTCCAGCAGCGAAAACTTTTGCGCGCGACTGCCATATTGCCGAAGTGTTTTTTCGCTGTCTCCAAAACTTCTTGCGGAATTGACGCGTCTCGGGACCGGAGCGTCGTATTCGAAGAAATTGGCGAGAGAAGAAAAAAATGCACTTTCTGTTATTACGCGTAGAAATGAATTTCGTGGGGCTTTTTAATATCGGTATCGTACTGTGAAATAATTTCAGGAGCAGACGCTGACGTAAAATGAAATATTTCAGCAACGGAATTCTCGTTATTAAATATCGGCGGAGCGCGGAAGGGGCCGGAAAACTCGGGGAGTTCGAATAATAGAACAGTTACACTGCTAGATTACATTTTTTTTATCGATTTGTACGATAATAACGGTGTTGTACGTGGTTTACGGTTATACGTGAATATATGTGTTTGGATAATTAAATATTCAGGTATCGGAGGTTCGGAGAATCGAGGATCCACTCGATTATATATACCATATATACTATATATACTATATATGTCTCGCTTGCAGTTTTATAATGTTATTTATCGATTCAATTCGTGCGAATATTAAGTAAGAAGCGACGTGATTCCAATGACGTCAAAATACATAGCCAAGGAAGGCTGTTGATATGGATATTGTTATAATAATTGCATCTACAATTCGAACTGAAGTTAATTTAAATTAGTGATAATAAATACCTCGTCCGATATAAATATATATAATTATAATTATAAAAGGCGCAGTGTGTTAGTCGGATTAGTCATACAAAGTTTACATTTTTTGCAACGTGAATAGCTCTTTCAAATGCAAATATTACGTTAGGACAATAACGTATAGTAAAAAATAATCCTGAGACAGTTTGAATGAAAAGGAATAATCCTGGAATCGATATAAAATTTCACCAAAAATAATTAATATTGATTGGAGTCGGAAGTTTATTTAACGAATTTATGATAACGTTTAGGATTGGATTTAGATCAAATAAATTTTTACAATCTGAATTTACCATAATTAACCATTTTTCGCGTAGGTTGCATATATTTTATTAAACATGTTTTTAAATCTTTTAATCTTGTACGTTCACATTGTGTCTTCATTTTTCAAATTGAATCGAATTATCATTATTATTATCACTATTTTATGCTTTCACATTAGGCGATTCCTTCGTTAATAAAAAATATACCAATTTCGTTTTATTTGAAACGCGATAAAATTTCTGCGCAACGTGGGCCAATTCTATTTTCCGAAATCCCGTGCCCCAACGAGTTAACGCAACAGGATCGCGGCGCGCGCGCAACTTTCATTAACACTTCGAGAAGCACGACGTATCTTCATGGAAATTAGCCGCGATCCATCGATACCCATCGCAGCGGTCTCCGATGCCAGGCCCAATTCGCCGTTCGTAATCAGCTGCACATAAATTCACCGGCGGCTGATCCATGACACGGTTCTACTATCCGAAAGTGGCAACGCCGGGTTAGTTACCAGCGAACGAAGCCCGATATAATCCGTTCCCACTTTATTGGTCGTTCCTGGAAGTGGATTAGCGATATCGGCAAGTTCAAGGTGTATCGAGGGCTCACGGGAAGCAAACTCGAACGGCAGAGGATGTATCAATATTCGGCTATCGGTGCCGGACCGATTCCCGCGCAAAATACGCCACTTAAATGAAATCGCGACTGCCGGTTCTTCTCGTTCTCGCCGATTTTCCCGATCGTTCGATCAGCAATATCTGTTCGAAAATATATAATATATAAATAATATAATATATATAATATAATATAAATAATATAATATATATAATATAATATAAATAATATAATATATATAATATAATATAAATAATATAATATATATAATATAATATAAATAATATAATATATAATATATAATTAATAATATATATAATTCAGATCGAAGTTCAAAATATTCGCACTTCGCCTGCTATATTGGAGAATTATGCCACGTTGGAATCGTTTTATCGGTCGCTTTAAAAATTTTGGAAATTCGTCGAAATTCGGTGTCATCCGAAAAAACGATATACAATAAATTCTCGCCAATTTTCCTTCAGCTTGCAGACAAAAATGGGCAACTTTGGAAAAAGAGATTCGATTATTCCACTTTAAAAGATCGGAGTACAATAAATACCCCCTAATCGACGCTCAGCTT